TAGGGACATACTGTATATAGATTAATTAGCACTTCCTTTTAATATTTCATAGGTTTAACAAAGAGAGAACCAAAATCTTCTTAATCACTATTTTAAAATGTTTTTGTAGAATTTAAATATATCAGTGCTTTCTTTTTTTCCTTGTTAATGAAAAATGACTCGTGGTTGGGGAGTGAGTTTTCCTGTTCAACCTCTGTCCTCCATTCCCAGCCCTGCTTAGAAGAAATAAGCACAGATGGTGGGTCTCTTACTTCTCTAACAAAAAATTTGCCTCTCTCTCTTTTTTGTGTTTTGTTCCTTCCTTCTCACTGAAATGTGAACAATCTTTCTAGTCAAACCTCTGTAGGGATTCTTCAAATGTTTATCCATTACTCGTACATTTAGGAGGAAAAGGAGTAATTAATGATTTATTAAAATTTCATAATGAGAGAAACTCCAATAGAAAGTCTCTGTTAGAAAACAATTTTAATTTAGAAACCGTATTTTTTGCATGTAAATTAAAGTCTGTGGAGAATAAGTTTTTATATTAAACTAGGATCCTAAATTACTCATTTAGTGATTACAGAATCATTTAGCCCATGTTAAGAAAAACTGTGTGGATCTTTTATTTATCCATGATTTAATGAAAATGTGTCTGCTGTAAACATATTAAGAAAAAGAGCCAAGAGAGTTTTCAGTGTATATGTTTTATTTAACTTGAAAATCTATACATACTCATACAGTAAAATGCCCAAATCTTAACTGTACAAATTAATATATATTTTTTTAAACAAAATGAGACTCCTGTGTAACCAGGACCCAAATCAAGAAGCATGATATTGCTCCTTCTAGACACTGTCCCCTAGGGTAGCTCTTATGGTCATTTGTAGCATAATTGATTATTTTTTGAAATTTTAATAAATGAAATTATAGGGTATGTTTCATATCTTGCTTCTTTCATTCAATATTTAATTTACGATTTGTCGATCTTTTTGAATATAGTTGTAATTCATTCATTCTCATTGCTGTATGGTGTTTTATTATACAAGTATGCTATCATTTATTCGCTCATACTAATGCTTACAGACATTTGAGTTGTGTCCAGTTTGGGGTTATTTTAAACAGTGCTTTTCTGAGCATTCTTGTACCTTTCTTTTGGTGAGCATTGTTTAGTGTTAGCATACATTTCAAATAGTGGTTTACACTGCCATCCACAATGGGAGAGTTCAGATTGCTCCACATCCTTTTTTATTTAAACCATTATATGTATAGACAGAGAGTGTTTATATAGCACTGCTGCATTGTGGTTCTTCTTAGCCTTACAAAAATAGAAAAGAATCATTGATATTATTAGATTATATTCCATTTGAAGTATTTTAAATGTCCTACTTTGCAGTATTTTTCCTTATTTAAATGATATATAAGGATACTGAGCCTGAAATATTCAATAATACAGTAGTTTGGAATGAGATTCTTCATCAATTATAATTCTGATAAATTTTATCTAAATCTGTATAATTATTTCACTGTGTTATTAACTGTGATAATTAAGAACAAAAATGAAAGGTAAGCAATCCCTCAGAAACAACATTCCTGCACCTTAAAAGAAGTTTTTCAGGTCTGTAAATAAACCAAGATTTGAATCAATTAATAACTTAATTGAAATTAAGAGATGAGTCTCAGTTTTCGTTGCCTGTATTATGTCTGTGTTTCTAGAGAAACATGGGAAAACTGTATGGCAAATTTGCAGTCTGTTAGTTTATTCTCACCCTGCCAACAACCATTATTTCACTGTTTAGCTGGTAGCATGCAACTGTGTGTTGCGAAGATTTTTGAAGAAAATCGTTTATTCCTTCTTAAGTATAAACAATGAAGTTTTTGTAAATTTTGTAATTAGAGAAAAAAAAATTAACACTTTGCACCAAGCTAATTGTATATCTACTTATGTTAGTTGGTTTCAGGAGTTTTCATTAATAATTGAGCGACTGTATTTTGGAGCTCACACTCTCTGGGTTCAAATTCTTGCTCACACTCTATAAATGGTGTGGCCTTGGGAGGTTACTTAACTTAGTCAGATCTCAGATTCCCAGACTGTAGAATGGAAATAATTACGACATGAACATAATATGATGTGTTAGTCTGGATCTTCCACTAGGTAGATGTTGAAAGGAGTTAAACACAAGAGGATTTTATTAAGAGAAATCCCTATGAGAGAAAATGGAGAGGTTGGTGGGTAGGGCTGGAAGAACTGTTGGCTGTGAAGCAGGTCTGAACTTGTGTATTAGTCCATTTCTGTTGCTTATAATAACATACATGGAACAGGGTAATTTGTAAGAAAATGAAATTTATTGCTTACAGTTTTGGAGACTGGGAAGTCAAGGGAACACATCTGGTGAAGTGACTCTATTGCAATGCAGGGTGTCACGTGGTGAGAATGGTGGAGCAGAGAGAGAGAGCTCCTCGTGTGCTCTCCTTCTAAAGCCCTCAGAACTGTGCCCACAACCACCATCAAACTATCAACTTTTTACTCCATTTACTAGGGCATGGTCCTCAAATCTAATCACCTCTTGAAGGCCTCGCCTTTCAATTACTGTAATAGGATTTCCCACCCTCTTAACACTGTCACAGTGGGGGTTAAGTTTCTGATACATGTACTCTGGAGAGCACAAATGCAGTCCACAGAACCCTGAGAGAAGGAGAGAGAAATGGAAGGTTAAGTGAAAGCATTTTAGCATGATGTGTAGTCTAAGGAAGGTTTAACAAGGGCTTCAGGAAATCCTGAGCCAAAATTGGCACTAGAGAAGCCTTATGTCTCCCAGTGATGGACGTGCTTTAGCCACCCTGCTCACACAGTCATTGACTGCAGGGTAAGGGGGCAGATGCAGAAATACATTTCTGAGTGAAGCAGCAGGTGAACTTTGTCAGTTAAGCTTTCTGTACATTGAGGTCTATGAGGCACATACTCATGGCCATCTATCATGAAGATGAATTGACAAACTCCACATAGTAATTAAACAACGTCTGAATCATAGTTATGTGTTTATACATTTATTTATTCATATAACTTATCATCATTATTAATATTCAACTCATTAATGAAGGAGCCACATGTGCAATCTACTTGGAATATTGGGAGAGTCAAGAATAATGTAACAGTGCTACAGAGAATTTGAGATGTTCATTATATATAGATACTTGTTCCTTCAAAAATAAAGAATATTTTTATACATTAACAACATAAGTATAATTGTTTTTCTCCTACTCTCGTTATTGGTATATACTGCCAAATCTCTAATGGATACTGGAATACCTAAATCTAAACCCCTCTATGCCTGCACAAAAATGTGGGTTCAAGGTTGCTTTAAAATTGAAAGATTTATTAATAGTATTTGCATCATGATCAATTAATATTATCCATGTCAAAGAGTTCCATCATTTATTACTATTTGAAAGACTTAATTAGGAATTGTTTGATCCACTTTTTAAAACTGGTCATTGGGAGTACATCATCTTGGAAAGAATTGGATATTCATGTGGTCATATTCTCCACAGTGGAGCCTCCTTTTATCTTTTCAAAGATTTTTTATTATCGTAAAAAATTCACAGTGCATGTGGATAGTTGTGATACTCTGTTCATAAAGAGGAAAGGCAAATCACGTTAAAATAATGTGAACATTCTTGCTGAAAATTTTTGGAGGCTAGTTTATTATGATATTTAAGGTAAGCAAACAAATTACTGAGACTCTAAGACACACTCAGTGTGTTGCCTCCTATCTCCTACCTTCCCACATTTGTACTCTCCACTTTGTAAGTAGAGGCCTAGTTCTGCTTCCATGTGTGTATTATTCACATGCCTCTGCCATTTCCCCTGCTAGGACGTCATCCTTTAACCTGGAGTTCTCATTAACCACACCATCAAAGACATGTTCTTACCCTAATACCTCAAGGGCCACCTCAAGTTACAACTTTTCCTTTAGTTTTCCCAAGTGTCTGAGTCCCAATGGACTTCTTTATATTCTGAATGTCTATTGCCTGTGCTATCCTTCCCTCACACTTGGCATATACAATTTCTCCCAGCTACTCCCATAGCGTTGCATTTTAACTGTTCACTTGTCTTTATGCTACACTATACTGTCAGGAAAATAAGGGTATTTATGTTACTAGAACCTATGAGGTGTTTTAAAAATATAGTGCTATGTAATGAATGAACGCACAAATGAATGAGTTTAATATATTCCCAGGTAGATAATTAGCATTATGAGGACTATAATTGAGTCTCTCACCTTCTTATAAGCCTAATTACCTAGTACAGAACTTTGAATAGAGTAGGCACTTAATTCCTCTTTGTGACGTATGAATTTAAATATTTTTATGACTATAAATTGACATTATTTGATTATCATTTGGGGAGGGTCATGAACTTTCAAATGGCTTTCCCCAGCTGTGAAATCGCTCTTTTACATACAATATGATTTACTAGATCCTTGTTTAGGTGAACCTCGATGAAAGCAGATTAACTGACAAAAGATTTTGCAGATTTTAGTTCTTTATAAAATTAATGATTTTGCCTTGTACCAGACAGCTGCCAATAAATAAATAAATAAATGAAATGAAATGATTTTGATTTGTGCAGTTAAAATACACACATATTTAAAATATGTAGCCCAGTATTTTAAAATTTATTATTGGGACTCATCTACATACTGCACAAATTGAAATAAATTGGCTCAGTGAGATATATACATATATTGGTAAATAGTATTAAAAAAACAAATAACTTTTGAATGGGTCCATTGAGAGAAAAACATTATTTGTCGGAAAGTCTATATTTTTATGATAAGAATTTAACATTTTACCTGGAAACACACTGCAACTGTACCAGTTTATATTCCAAGAAAAAGTATATAGGTGTATACTCTCAAAGGACAAAATTCTGGACTCAAATCTGTTCAAGTAGTTGTGACAGCTCATGCTCTGACTGAGTTACTAAGTCATTTATCTTTCACTTTTCACTTTGTTAGCTATACTCAGCACGTGTTTGGAAATGGAATCAAAGCTCAATCTGGAAATCCTGAAGTCAAAATTAAAGGAACTGATCCTGTGATAAATCAGATTATTGATAAACTGAAGCATGTTATTCAGGTAAGTGTTGATCTTCTATTTATTGGTATATTCAATAGTAAGTCATAAGTGATTATTTTCCATTATATTTGATAACTTTATTAATTCTATCAGATAACCCTACCTACAATGGAGTATTGCAATAAAGTATTTGTATGCAGGGTTTTGGAAATATTTAGCTGAGTGATTTTCATATAGATACAATGTGCAGCCATGTCTTAATGGGTGGACAAAATCTGTGAAAAGCAATCTGTAGCCTCAGCATTTCAATAATGAGAATCTCAGGTTATCCTTCATCCTCAATGAATGAGCTTTTAACATGGGAACTAATATGAACATTAAAGAAAATACATATCAGAGCAAAGAGCATGGAGATGTCTTTCAGGTAATACTTTGAACCTTGCTGAGGGCTTTGTTAAATTTTTAATAAAAGTTAAGCCATAAATGAATAGTATGCATTTTCAGTATTTATATTAATGGTTGTTTATGGAATATTTGTGTTTTATCTTTAATAATATTATTTAATCAAGTGAGTGTATACTTTAATGTTTTAATGCATGATATATGGAGCATGAAGATATCTATGAAAGTAATATTTCATTAAAATATTTTATTAATTGGAAGCAGATGTTATGTTACTTGTTGAAATACCACTCTCCATTCTGCATCTGTTGGTGTAAGAACTATTTTTTTAAAATTATCAGTCATTTTATAATAACTTATGTGTGCATATATTTTCATTATTTTCTAAGCAAAACTTTGTATCGATAATTGATATGTATTTCTAGTATTGTGTGTCAGAAAGAATACCTAAATAGTAATGAGCTATTATTGCATATGAAGTATGCAAGAGTCTGAAGTATACTTCTTGTAATTGTTCTCCAAAGCTTAAGTTTATGTGGAGTATGTTCTTAGGATTTCATTTTCATGAGAGTCTCTATATCTCCAGGAAAGGAGAGGTGAGCAGGACATGGGGCTGGTGTCCAGCACTGTAGACTTTCCCCTTCCAGGAGGCAATAATGGCTCCTCTGATTATTCCACCACTGGTGCTTTGGGAAAACAAAGCTCTCGCTTTGGGTAGCAAAACTAAAAGTTAGATCCATTGAAAAAAGTATAAGAGAAAAGTGGTATCACGACTCCTGGTGAGTTAAACCTCACAACCTCTTGTGAGTTAATTCCCTCAAAGAGAAACCTCCAAGGTAAAGTAAATAGGTACCTCATGCTTCTAGTGGGCCAAGTACTGAGACATTTCTTGGGCTGAATATTCTTGGGAATGAGTCAGGAGCTGAAGTGACAGTGAAGGAGAGATCAGAGTGAACAGTGGGAGCTGGACAGAATGGCCAAGGTCAGCGTGGAGAAAACCTGTTGTCCTTAGAAGTGGTGATAATAAGTTCATCCATGAATGTCACCCAGCCACTTGTAAAAAGGGAAGTCATTCTTCCTGCCACATGTTCTCTTAATTGGAATTTTGCTTTTCCATAGTAAGAAAAATCAAAGAGTAGCTCCAGGTGAAACTGATTTAAACTCAGTGAGAAGCTGATGAGGGTTCAAGACAACTTAGGGTATTAATTCTTGAATTTCTAGTGGTTCAATAAATGATTTGTTAGGAACTAGATAAGCAAACTAGATTTCTAAGTACATGCTGATGTATATGTATCCTAGTTAGGGTTCTCCAGGGAAGAGACTCTGGGACAGAGATTTGTGTGCCAGAGATTTATGGCGGAGTGTCCCTGCAATAATTAAGGAAGTAGAAGAAGTAGGATTGTACAGAGGGAGCAATAGAACTGCACTGTAGCTGTAACAGAAGGTTCTTCTGAACCCAGTAGGAACTGTGGATCTGGGAGAGCCCTTTCAGGTTGTCCTGAATTGAGACAAGGTGTGTCTATATTCCTTTGCGTTGACCAGTCATTGGATGAGGACTACTGGGGTGGCAGTGGGGTTATGTTAACAGCTATTAGTTCCCATCAGCTGTGAGCTATCAGCAGCTGACAATATTATATGGAACTGGAGGAATGAGAATCTTGGTCTAGGTGGCAGTACACAGCAGCAGCATCCACTGTAATATGATACGCAGATCGGGATTATTTGAAAACTCTGGTGCACAATTGATAATAAAATCAAGAGAACTTCAGTGTTAATCAGTTCCTCTCATTGAGACACAGCAAAATTTTAGTGGGCCCCAAAGTAGAGTTAGTATTCCACAGAAAGTCCAGGAAGGAAAAATAGAATTTAGGTGTATATTTATTCTTCCTCATTCCTTCATAATTTTTTGGTTGTAGGAAGGTGTATAAAATGTGCAATATATTAGTACAATAGCACATGAGTATCGTTTGTAAATACATAAATATACATATCAAGTGAGCATGCATTCAAACTGTTTTTATGGGATATGTATGTGATGAAAACAAAATGGAAACCCTGTTATAGGTAATAAAGATGGAGTTGCTAGATAGGAAGAAGTGTGTAGTTATAAGAAAACATTCACAAAGGAATACTAGACACCCAAAGTATAAAGGTTTATAAAAACCCTTAGGAGAGGGGTTCACTGATTTGTTGCCCATTCAACATAACATTCCCCCCTTCTTGTTTCACAGGTTTCAAAGCCATAGGTTTCAAGGTGGCAGAGGGAAATAATCCTACTTTTCTTTTTTAGCTCCTGTGTTAAATTGAATCCCGTTCTTTCATCTTTTTAAGAGTGTGCAGATCTCCATTTATTCATACTTATGTTTCATTCTAGGGTTACAGGAGGATATCAAATACAACATTACCTTTGAGGTCTGTCTTTTTAAAGATAACTAGGATGGTATGATTGAAATTTAGATTTTTATAGAGAATAGCAGAAAGTCATATCTCATACAAGTGTCACTACTAAAATATTCACCTTTAATGTTTTAGAACAGTTCTTTCATAAACCAGCTCTCCTGGAGATGAAGCAAATTTTTTTATTTTGCCAGACTTCTGACTGCTAATAATATGTGTGTGATCTGGAGGGGGTGGCAATTATACTGTGCAATTTCAAGGGGTAAGTACCAGGACCCACCACAATATCAGCTGTGAAAAGATTTCAAAATTTCTCTTTCATAAGTGAGAATTTATTAATTTGGGAGCAGGGTGAGCTAGGGAGGAAGTAGGTATGGCAATATTGAGCCTTTTTTCTTGGCAGCTGACCGGTATGGGGATCCAAACCCTTGACCTTGGTGTTACAAGGCTGCGCTCTAACCAACAGTGCTAACTGGCCAGCCCAAACGTGGCAACATATTTCAGAATATAATCTGTAGATTTAGATGAGCACTTAGCAGTGTTGGAATGCAATTTAGTATTTTTTTTATTGTAAGGGGCATTAACTGCATCTCCCTACTTTGTACTAAGAAAAATGCTATCTCTCATCATAGGGATAAACAAATGTTTCTTTTCTCCTGTTTTCTCCCATGTATGAGTTTAGAGAAATAAGCCAGTGATAATTATTAGCAAAAATTGCCTCCATGCATTAGTCCCAAAATACCATTTTTGGTCTGCCATTGATTTGAACCTCATTTTTTACCTGTATCCTTTGCAACTATTGTCACTAAACAAGAAGGTAGAGATTTTACTTTGAAAATATCACTTTTTAGTGTGTTAATTAATGTATTCAAAATATGCAACAAATACTTGAGTTCCTAATATGAGCCTGGTTCTGTACAAGGCACTGAGGTCAAAGGGATAACCAAAGCAGACACAACCCTGCTCTCATGAGATTTACATTATAAGAAAAAGTAACTGAACAAATACAATAATGGTGGCTGACAAATATTATAAGAAAACAAAACAGAATGACCTAGGAAAAGACACTTAAGAAGAATGTGCTACTGAAGGATACTCAAAGGGGAATGTTTGGGTTGATACTAAATGAGTAGGAGAAAGGACTCGTGAGAAAATCTGAGAACTGTTTGGGCCAGAAGGAAGAAGTGCAAAGGCCGTGTGACAAGAATACATTAATTTTATTAAGAGAACAGAGAGCCATGTGGCTAGAACAGAGTGAGCAAAGAGGAGAGATAGGCATAAACCATATTTTGGGGAGTCAGATAAGCTCTAGTAAGGAGTTTTATTTTATCCTAAGTAGAATGGGAAGCCAGTTAAAGCCTGTAGGCAGAGGATGATACAATTTTATAAAGATAACTTTGATTCCACTAAGTATATGCTGATGTATCTGTATCTTAGTGAGGGTTCTCCAGGGAAGAGACTCAGAGACAGAGATTTGTGTACCAGGGATTTATGACAGAGTGGAAAATGGACCCAGGGGAGGAAAATGAAAGAAGAAATTAACACAGACAGAAGACCATGATGATTGGAACTAGAATAAAAAGAGTGGAAAATATGAGAAGTGGATAGATTCAGATAAATATTGGAAGTGGAGTTATAAGGATTTGTCAATGGATTCGAAATTGGGGAGACAGAGAAGGACAATAGTAAGGTCTGGTGGGATGATAATGTCATTAAGTGAAAATAGAAATTCCCGGAGAGGAGCAGGACTGGGAGTGAATCTTTGGGGTTGATTGGAAATCAGAAGTTCTGCTAACACTGAGATGCCTATTAGACATTCAAGAGGAATGTCCAGAATTCAGTGGAGACCACAGAATTGGAGGTGTATACTTGTGAGCATCAGCATATAGATAGTATTTAAGACATGAGATTGTATGAAGTCACCATCTTTCCTTTAGAGTGGAAATTCGCACCAAAACTATTAGTGGAGAATATAAGACAGCAAAACTATATGAAAAATGTGTATCACAAAAATCTATAAGTGGAGAAAACATTTTATTGACTATTTAGTAACTTGTGGATATTTGGATGGTTGATCTAGGACAGAAAAGGTATTGAGTAACAATAACTTTTCCTTACTGCAAGGATAGCCAATGATCATTAAAAGGAATTGAATTTTCTTATTTCAGGAAATTGACAGAAAGATTGGAAAATACTTATGCCATGAATAAAACAACCAAAAACCTATACAAAATAAACTGTCTAGACTTTTTTTCTATACT